AAGTCGCCTCCCCGTCGCCGCATACATTGCGCATCACATTGGTCGCACAACATACAGTGCACCACGCCCATTGCACACAGATAGGTTGCGCAACAGCAATTGCACAATTCAGATCGCACCACATAGAGCGCAACACATAGAATGCACAACATAGCTTGCACAACATAGATCGCACAACACACACTGCACGGCACAAACTGCACAACACGTATTGCACCACATAGACTGTCTACCCCCATCCCCCCCCGGGGTTATCCGTTACGCGCTTCGATTGAACATTCAAATATGATCGCGACCTTTCGTTCACTGTTCCTATGAACTCATACAATCCCAGGCCAGCCAGTATCGACCCCGCCCCCCGACAAATTTTGCAAAAAAAACAACGATGCGCGCACACTCGGTTATCAAAAACCATACATGTGCAAGAATATTTTGCGAAACGCGGGACCAAGTACACATGCGCGCGTCGACGCGCGCGCATGTCGAATTCATTCAAAAACCTACGTTGTCGGAGGGTATCAAAAACCGACGGCCCAAACAACAAATGTAAACACGGGGTTTCGCAACACGAATTGCCAACAACAAAACAGGCGAAAAAAAAAAAAAAAACGCGCGCTCTTTTGCGCATTAGTAAGGAAACGATGGGCTTTCCAAATTTTCAGACAATACTACCAAGCGGGATTCGACCGTGCGCATGTCGAAATCGATCGAACGCCCTTTGCGCGCGCGCCGTCGCGAGAATCCTGCAAAAAAAAATGCACGCGAGCGCGTCGTCGCGCACGCATGCCGACCTCCTTCAAAAACCGTCGTAAGAGGGTGTGAAAATTGTGCCCGAAAACACATGCAACAGTGCGCGCGCTGTTGCGAACTCTTTTTTTTCCACTCTCGCGCGTCTGCCGCGCGCGCATTTCGAATTCCTTCCAAAACCTTCATCACCGACGCGAAGTCGCCGTCATCGTCGTCGACGTGATTGGCATTGGCGCCGTCACTGGCCGTGCCGTCGTCGCTGTCAGCATCGTCACCAACATCGCCACTATCATCATCCTGTCTACAATAGTCGACGTCGCCGTGGAACCGCACCCGCCCAAGTCGCCGACCCGCACTCAAGTGCCCGCTGTGATGTGCCGAGCGGTCAGCACCACCGCGGCCGCGTCGGTCGCGCCAAACTACCTGGCCGCGGCGCGCGCGCATGCGTGGGCTGGCGCGGCCGCGTAGATGCACCAGCAAGCGCCATGCACTCATCGCAATCGCCGCGGCATGAGGTTTGCAAACAAAGTTGCGGGTGGGCGAGTGGGATGTTTTCGCGAGCAGTGGAAAAGACACCTCACTGCGAACAGCAATCACTCGCACCGCATAGATGGCATCGCGTCGGTAGCCTCGCATAGTTTACGCACCGCAGATACTGCACAACATAGATTTCAGCACATAGATTACACGACATACGTTGCACAACGTAGAACTTCTAAGGGGGCGAATCGGACCGGGGGCGGCCGCAATATCTCTCGAGTAACGCGTGCGCTCTGTAGCGATGCTCGGCGGAGACTGGCCAGTGGCTTTCTTCGCAGCGACGCCCCAGAAGTTAGGAAAGCACTGGCGGGAGGGGGAGGGGAGACGACGAGGGCGAGGAGAGGAAGAAAAAGGAAGACGACGAGGAGCGGGAGGACAGCCCGATACAAATATGGCCCGAATTTGTATAATAGCGAAGCGCGCGGTTGCCGACATCTGCCTAGAGGAACAAACCCCGGTCGCCAACAGGGCCTTTGCCCTGCGAACGCGGCCGAAACTCGAGCGGAAATTAGGGCGGTTGTTCGCGTGAGCGAGAGCAGGAAAAGAGGAGGAGGGCGAGGAGGGCGAACGGAAGGAGGGGCAACAAGAGGAGGGAATAACAACGCCTGCAATAAGCCCCCCGCGCTAAATATACCTCGCGCTGGGCAGAGGACAACAGGCGCCCTAGAATGCTGCACAAGCGACGCCGAAAAGGAGCGAAACAAATGGAGGGGGGGGGGGCACTGATCTTGCCGCCGACGCTTGCGCGTCGAGCTGAATAAAGCCATGGCTTGCGAGCGGCCACGAATCCCCTCACGGGCGAAACCAACGAAGAGGTCAGAGGGGGGGCTCGCGGAGCGGCCGCCGCGGCGCCTCGCATTGCGCGTTCGGAACAGGGCAAAGACACCGAGGGCTCTCAGCGCGGCAGCCTGCGGGCCGCCCGCGGGGGGCACGCCGACTCGGAGGAGGCGGGGGGGGGGGGGGAATGAAAAGGAAGTCTGCCAGGGCCGCGTCGTGCCCAGGGCGCTCGAGGCTCAGGTGGCGACGACTAAGGTCGTGGAAGACGCGGCAATGGCAGTAATGATGGATCGAATCATCCGCCGTTGGGCACCCCAATACGCATCTCCCAATTCTCTGGAATCGCCTGGAAGTGGCCCAACCATTGAGATTAGCCCGTAAAATCACCGCCAGCACCCGGGGAGGCACGAACGTCTTGATGGCCCCCATGTTCTGGACAAGTCGATGGCACCGGCGCCCGGGGGGGGCGGCATCGAGGCGCCATCTGTCAAGTTTTCGCCGCAACGCTCGCTCCGCTGCCGCAGCCCGCGGGGGAGGGCAACACGAAGAGCTCGCGCCTGCCACCCCTCTCGCTGAGCCCCCTCGGACGCGGGGGCGACGAGGGGTCGGGCGGGCTCGCCATGGGCCACGAAGTCCCGCATAGCTTTTTCCAACGAGAACAAGAATGTGGAGGGCGCCCAGGCGCACCGTGAACCAAGCCTGCGAATACCGTCGAAATCCTGCATGGCAGCTCGCAGGGCCGCAGCCCTTGACATCACCTGCAATCCCCCCGCCCGGTGGGCCCCATGAAGCGCGACCCAGACATTGGCCGCCGAGGCGATGTGCGCCGCGCCCGGGAAATCGCGAGAGAAATCGAACTGCTTGAGATATTTCAGAATGCCTCCTTGTAGCCAATATGCAGGGCCAGGAAAAAGCTCCATGATCAGACGCTTCTCGATCCTGTCGAAGGCGGCGGGGAGAGGGCCCAGCTGCGCCACGAAGGAAGCCACAGAGACGACGAATACACGATACACCAATGCCCCCCCATACCGAAGCTCGACCCTCCATCTTCCTGAACACCCCCTTCCCAAGATTTGCGCTCCCGGCCAGGGCCGACATAGAATCCTAAATATTTGCGGAGTCGGCAATTTCCAGTCCTCCCCAGAGTGGTACCTCGCGCCGAAGATGCGCACGAATCTGGTCATGGCCAAGTGCGCCCAATGGTGTCAGAACCGTTTCGTCCACGTTCAGGGCCAGGCCAGAGATGAAAGCGCACTCCGAAAAAAACACCGCTCGAGGAGGGGCAGATGGGCCATGAGACATAGGCCCACGAGGGCGGCGTCGCCCGCGCAGGCCCGGAGAGCGGGGCAGGGGAAATCACGGCACAACCTGCGAAGAAGAAGGTCGGCGGCAACGGCGAAGAGGAGGGGGGGGAGAGCGCATCCCTGACGAATGCCTCGGTTGACCCCGAAGCCGAGGTAGCGGGAACCGCCCAGGACAATGTCGCCCATGAAGCTCTGCAACCACCTGGGCCAATTGAGAGAGCGGAAGACGGCCTTCAAGAAGCCGTGCTCGACGCCAGGGAACGCGGCCGCGAAGTCGAACAGCGTGGCACCCCCATCGTCCGAAGCGCAGGCTGCGAGGATCGCCGCCTCCTCGATATCCACCAGATTGCCCAGCATGGAGCGACCGGCAATGAACCCTGAATGGCGGACACCCTTGGCCCCACCAGCGGCTCAATGAGGAGCCGCGCCGAATTCGCTATCAAACGATTGTCGGCGTTGGCGACGTTCAAAGGGCGAACGCCCGAAGGAGAGTAGCACCCCTCACCCGAGGGGCCAAACCCAGAGGGCTGCTTCGGGAGAAAGAGGAGGACGCTCGCGTTGAAGTCGTCGGAGAACGACCCCATCAGGGCAGCACCGCCGTTGAGGCGAGGGCACCGAAGGCGTCGAAGAGAACCGACGTGAACAAAGCCAAATTGCCGCGCCAGGCTGAGAACGCGACGCCGTCGGGGCCTGGAGACGAGCGCTGGACTGCCGGATGGCCTGCCGGACATGCTTCCAGGAGAGGCGAAAGATGGGCGGGTCGAATGGCGCGGCGTCGGAGGCGGAGCGGGACTGCGCACCCAAGGTCGCCCACTGCTCGAGCAATTCTTCATCAACCCCTTGCGCGGAAAAGGTTGGCGCCCAGCGAGCGCGCAGCGCGGCAGCCTCCGCGTCGGGGCGCGCGACCACCTCGCCATCATCCTGCTCGGTTCCAGAGACGCCCCCAGTCCGGCCAGGAGCCGGCCGGCATATCAGGCAAGCATTACGTTGCCGGGCGCGCGCGGCTCGGAAGTCATCCGCGCTCGCGAGGTCCTCGCGGGAGCGGCCGAGCTCATCAATGGCGCGCTCTCTGGCCGGTAGAATGACGTGGAGGCGGGCGCCGCGGAGGTGACGGGCGAGGTCGCCGTCGATGCGGCGCGGATTGTCGACCATGTCTTCGAGCGCGGGGCAACGCAACAAACGCGTCGAGATCTCGTTCAGCCGGCCCCCCTCCGCCGCACGAAGGAACTTCATCGCGACGCCCGGGCGGTCCTCCTTGCTTGAGGCTGGCAAAAGAATAGCCCGCTCAATATAGATCCGAACGGACACCCGGCGCATCGCGGCTTTGCGCAACAGGAGGCGCCCCAGGGCGTTCGCGCCAGGGTAGTCCCGGAGGGTCTCGCGGCACGCCATCGCCACCCTGCGGGCGAAGGAGGGGTCGGAGAGTGACGAAGCCGAGACAGGACGGAGATCATCTTCTCCATGCTGCGGGGCGCGCCGGGAGACATGAACCGCGCGGTGGCGAGATAGGCCACGGCGCCACTCCAGCGCGGAGCAGCAGATCTGCCGATCCAACTGGTCAGACAAGTGGTAGTTCGCATATATGCGATCAAGTCGAGACCGCGCCGAAGCGGACGCATGGGCGCGGCCCGTCTAGAACATCTCTGCGAAACCGTACTCGTCGCCGACGGTGGCCTTGAACTGTCTCTCGCTCCTTGCGTCTCGATGGCCAGAAGGCTCCATGGTGCGCAATGCGATCCTGTCCCTGTCGGCAATAACCCAATTGAAATCACCCCCCAAGAGAGCGAGGCAGCCCTCCGCGGGGGAGAGAGAGTCGCTGATCTTGGAGCGCAGCAGAGACCGGATATCGCACAAAGAATGAATATCGGCGCGCCGGGGGCGCAGGACCCCGCCCATGTCGCTATCGGTCGGGGTCTGCGCGCTGCCGGCATGCCCGTGGACCACCATGATGTCAAAGGCACCCATCGGGCCGCGTAAGCATAGCTTGGCAGCGCGGCCTCGCCACATGTGGACCCGCAGGGGCTGCTCGGAGAACTGCTTCAGGAAAGAATCGCGGACGACGACCCCGACGCCAGCGCGGCCGGCCGAAGCTCCTTCCGACCACCAGGCGGTTGTGCCCAGGGGGGCTCGCCAAGTGGAGTTGCGTGTCTCGGAGCCGTGGGCCTCCGTAATTAAGCATATGTCGGACTTCTGCAACAGCTTGTGCACGTGCGCACTCTTAGCGGAGAAGCGGTAGACATCTGAAGCGAATAAGGCCTGTGCGTTCCAGAAGGTCATCGAGAAGCCCCCCTGGAACTGCCCGCGGCCATGCGAGAGCGGCAGGAGGTGGACGAGATAGCGGAGGAGGAAGCAGCCGATCAGCAGGCAGGGCGCCGACGGCTCGGAGAAGCCGAAGCCGACGGTAGATGTGCACAGGGAGGTCGAACGCGGCGTGGTCCAGCGGCATCGCGGGGATAATTTCGTCAGCGGTGAACACAAGGCGCGGAACGTCAGTAGCGGCATGGTGATCAGTAGCACGATAGGGGGAAGAACGGCAGCGAGAGCCAGTAGTCAAAGAGGAGGTCCGAGAAGCAGAGAAACTCATAGTATCCAATAGTGCCTTGGGTTCGACGGACCCCAGCGGTTGGCGGTCCGTCCACGACGGCGGGGAAGGCGCAGGGCCAACCACGCGGGCGTGGAAGACGACGAACACGGCGAAGCTCGAGTGCCCCAGCTCGTCAATGCAATAAATTCCGAGGCCAGCCCCTGACCTCTCACCTGGTGGGTGGAGCGCCCGCTCAGCACGGACGCGGGCGGCGCCTAGCCCCGCGCCCTCGGGCCGTTTCCCGAACCAGCGGCCAACTCCAGCAAGTCATTGCGAACCTGGATGTGGATGGGGCCCTGACCTACCTGGACGGCCTTGTTGCGCAAGGCGCCGTGGAGCTTGCGGACGTCCGCCTTGTCCTTAGTCAGCACTTTGATGACCCCTCTGGCGGCGGCTAAGCGGCCGCGGCCCACAGGAGCGCACCCCCCGGCCTGGAGGTTGTCGGGATCGGAGGCGAGGGACAAGGAGAGGCCCGTAGACACGACCGCGTGCTGCATGAGCCTGTTCAGCACCTCGTTGTCCTGGAGCCCGATTTCGCCCTGCACCCTGATCTCGGCGAGGTAGCCCGAGATGGAGTGGGCCTTGCCTGCGCGACGCTTGGCAGCCGCAGCGCGGGGGGCTACAGCGGCAGGGGCGGCGATGACTCGCCCACCGAACCGCGAGGGACGGCGTTTCAGCCGCGTCGCAGCGCTGGCGGCGTCCTGCTGCCAGACTTCGCCTATGGCGCCCTTCCAAGAACCAGCCGACGCGTCCAACACCAGCAGGAACTTCGTCGGGCTCAAGATGCACACCTGCGAGCAGAGGGGCCAGTAGTGGCGGAAGACCCCCTGCCCGTTACACTCCAGGATAAAGGTGTCGGAGTCGGACACCAACCCTTTGAGGCCGAAGAAGGTAGAGCCAGGAAGATGAGCACGTCGCAGCTCGCCGAGCGTAGAGATAACGTCGAAGTGCGCGAGGTGGCTCGGGAAAACAAGGTCCACTGAAATGCGCGGCGTCTCCGAGGTGCTGAGCGGGCTCCTTCGGCGAGCGCGAGGGACCGTACCCGTCAGGAGTGGTAGGGAGCATAAGGACAAGAAGTCAGGAAGGCCATCCACGAGCAAGTCGAACGTAACCGCCTTCACCTCGGGCAGCTGGAGGAGCGAGGCCATGTTGATCAGTCGAGGGACCGTTTGTAGCCCGCCGAACCGCAAGGAGAATAACGCCAAACCCTGGCGTCCGACACGAGGGATTCCGGACATCGTGGGCGAGACGACCTCGAACAGGAAGGGGATGAAGGCAACATCTTTGACGATAGGAAACCACGTGGAAGATAGGAGCGGGAAATGGCAAACGTCGGTGATGTTGGAGATGCTGTTCAAAACCGGTCGTCGCGGGGATGGCTGAGACGAAGATGAGGGTAGCGGGGCGCGAGGCGGGGTCGGAACGCCGCAGAAGGCGGCCAGGAGGCGGGTCAGCGAGTTGTTGTCGGAGGGGGTCCAGAACACCGCCGACTTCCCGGCCAGGTCGTCCCAGAACGCCTCGTTGCCCTTCTCCGCCTTCACCGCCAAGACGCGGGTCTCAGCAGGTGTCCGAGCATCAGGGTCTCCGGCACGCAAGACGTCGGACCACTGCGTGTAGATCTCAATGCGTGGGATCTGCGCGGTCTCCTTGATGGCCGCCAGCGCCTCAATCCCCAGCTCCTTAAACAGATGCAGCAGGTCAGGTCTGAATCGGCGGCGCTCTTTGAGCACCCGCGCAAGTTCCACCTCGCAGTGCGCGACTGCGGCAGAGACCTTGTCCATCAAGGCCTTGGCCTGCATCACATCGTCCTGTGGCCAATCAGAGGCGGAGATGAGGGAGATGAGAGTGGAGGCAGCACGGCCTCGCGCCAAGATGTCCACGTCCGTGGGGTCGGGGCCCTCCAGCTTGGCGAAGCCTAAGAACTCCCACATGTCCTGGGACTTCGTGTGATAGCCCAGTTTCGTAAGGATGACCTGCAACTCTATGACCCCCGTGGGAAGCCGAATCGGGAGCGACCGGGCGTCAGCAGAACCATCCACGAGCGGCTGGATCAGCTGGAAGTGGTGCAACATCTCCTGCTCCACGAATTCCCGAAGAAAATCACCCTTGGACGACGGTCGCCCGAGACCAGAGGGGGCCAGGGACAGGCACCGGTAGCACCGTGGGCGGGGAGGGAACACCCGAGGCGACGTCCATCTGCAATGCCGCCATGGACTGCGTGGCGCCGGAAGGCACCTCCTGCATAGCGGCATCCTCCTGCATCGCGGCACCCTCCAGCGCGACATCCCCGGGGACGCGGTGGCCAGGCAGGGTCTGTCCGCAACGCCGGCATCTGCCCCGCTCGTCGGCCGACGCGGGGAGCGCGCCGTAGAGCGGGCATGCCGCATGGGAGCACGCCATCGCAAGCTGGCTGCGGCCGCTGGCAGATTTTGGTGTTAGGGTGGGGCGACCCCCGGAGGAACCACAGGCAACCAGTGAGCACTGAGGCTCCCTTGAGCCACTGAGGCTCCCTTGAGCCACTGAGGCTCCCTTGAGCCACTTGAGCCACTTGCAATAAACTTAACTTGTGCTAAATTTATTGCACAACTTAGAATGCTGGGAACACACTGTCTGGGGTCCACGCTGGCTAGCATGATCATTATGACCGTGCTCATCCCTCTCCTCCCTGTAGACGTCATGCGAACTAAGGTCGAAGAACAGATCGCCCTCATCCTCCTCACCACTATCCTAATCCACCTCAGCATCATAATCCTCGTCCTCCTCGTCACCAATATCATCATCGCCGTCATCATCATCAGCAGCATCATCACCGTCACCATCACCATCATCAGCATCATCATCACAATCATCAGCATCATCACCATCTCAATCATCATCAGACTCCGCCTGTTCATCCTCATTATCATCCTCGTCAACATCAACATCAACATCAACATCATCATGATGTTCATCGGAATCGTCAGCAGCAGCAGCAGCAGCAGCATCACAAGCACAATCGTCATCATCATCATCATCAGCAGCAGCATCATCACATCATCACCATCATCATCAGCAGCAACAGCATCACCATCACAATCACCGCCATCATTTAGTATCAGCATCAACAGCTTCTATCCTCATAGTCCGTCCTCCTCCTCCTCCTCCGCATAGTCACCCTCACAATCACCATCAACATCATCAGCAGCATCATCATCATCACCAACAACACCACCATCATCATCATCAGCAGCAGCATCATCATCATCAGTATCATCATCATTATCATCATGATATTCCTCATCAGTAGCATCATCATTATCATCATCGTCATCATCATCACCATCACAACCATCCTCAGCGTCATCCTGATCATAATCATTAGCATCATCGTCATCATCGTCATCAGCTTCACCACCATCCTCAGAATCCGCTTCTCCATCCTCCTCATCAGAATCGACATCAGCATCAACAGCATCACCATGTTCATGAGCAGCAGCATCAGAATCATCAGCAGTAGCAGCATCACCATCACCATCAGCAGCAGCACCGTCAACACCATCTCCATCACCATAGTATCATCATCCACATATTACATCGTCATAGTCCGTCCTCATCATCACCACAACCATCATCATGATCAGCATCACCGCCTTCATCATCATCATCATCATCATCATCATCATCATCATCATCACCATCATCATCATGTTTACCATCATCATCACCATATTCCTCATCAGCAGCATCATCAACTTCATCATCATCATCTTTACCAGCATCATCATGAGTATCCGAATCATCAGCATTATCATCATTACCATCAATAACCGTATGATCCTAATCAGCATCATCATCACGAACAACAACAGCATCAACAAATTGTCCAGCATATCCTCATCAGCAGCATCATCAGCATCATCAGCATCATCAGTATGATCATCATGAGCACCATCATCACCGTCCTCATCATCACCACCACCACCATCATCATCATCATCATCATCATCATCATCATCATCATCATCAGAATCATCATCATCATTACCAGCATCATCATCATCACCACCACCACGACCACCACCACCACCACCACCATCATCATCATCATCATCATCATCATCATCATCATCATCCCATCATCATCATCATCATCATCATCATCATCATCATCATCATCATCATCATCATCATCATCATCATCATCATCATCATCATCATCATCATCATCATCATCATCATCATCATCATCATCATCATCATCATCATCATCATCATCATCATCATCATCATCATCATCATCATCATCATCATCCTCATCATCATCATCATCATCATCATCATCATCATCATCATCATCATCATCATCATCATCATCATCATCATCATCATCAGCATCATCATCATCATCATCATCATCATCATCATCATCATCATCATTACCAGCATCATCATCATCATCATCAGCAGCAGCAACATGATCAGCTTCATTATCGCCCGGTCTACCCCCTTCGCCTTCCTCCTCCCTTCTGTTTCCTGCTCATTCCTTATCGTTCCCATCATGATTTCGTCACCACCACCATCGTATCTCTTTCTTATCCTCCGATGCCTCATTATCATCAATCATCATCATCATCATCATCATCATCATCATCATCATCATCATCATCATCATCATCATCATCATCATCATCATCATCATCGTCATCATCATCTCCCATCCGCATCTTCCACCCTCCTCACCCGTTCTATCCCCTTCGCCTCCCTCCTCCCTTCCGTTCCCTATACGCTCTCCTGGCTTGGCCAGGAGGCGTATACACCGACCTTGGGACCATGGAGGGCCTGGTCCAGATGGGGTGCAGAGGAACACATCAGTGACATGTGCTTCCGCTGGAGGCCCACGTCCGACCCTAACACACGGCACACAAATCTTGCCGTACGCCGTTGATTGCCCAAACGGTTGGTCCCGAAAGCGCCCGCCACTGTGCTTGTACTACGAGGGGTGTCAGAGCGCACTTGGCCCCTGCAAAGCGACGCCCACACAGCACGGGCATGCCTGAGCCCGACCGAGTGGACCTTCCCCGAATCAGCATCCTTCCGCCTGGACCTAGGTCGGGCATGTCCTCCTACAGGCGGATCTTGGACGAAAAATCAAAAATAGCCGAATCAAAATGCTCGAACATATGCAAAACATAATCGAAAAATCGTCCCTGGACTACCTCTTGACTATCTTTCAATAGTCCTCCTGTGGAGGGACACGCCCGACGTAAGCCTGCACCCGCCCCCCCCCCTCGCCGCGCCCGGCGCCGCCTGGGAGGCGGCGGGGGCCCAGCGTGCAGGCGGTCGGGCGCCGAGGTCGGCGGGCCGGGCCGCGACGTGCCGTACGCCTGGCGGACGGGGGGGCGTGCGCCCCACACGCCCGACCTCGACGCATCGCTCCTCCTCGCTCCTCCTCGCTCCTCCTCGCTCCTCCTCGCTCCTCCTCACTCCTCCTCGCTCCTCCTCCTCGCTTCTCCTCCTCGCTCCTCCTCCTCCTCCTCGCTCCTCCTCCCCTTCCTCCTCCTCCTCCTCCTCCTCCTCCTCCTCCTCCTCCTCCTCCTCCTCCTCTCCTCCTCCGCCTCCTCCTCCCCTCCTCCTCCTCCTCCTCCTCCTCCTCCTCCTCCTCCTCCTCCTCCTCGCTTCTCGCTTCTCGCTCTCGCTTCTCGCTCCTCCCTACTCGCTTCTCGTTCCCCCCCTCCTCCCCCTCCCTCCTCCTCCTCCCCCCCTCCCCCTCCTCCCCCTCCCCCCCCTCCTCCCCCTCCCCCTCCTCCCCCTCCCCCCCTCCCCCTCCTCCCCCCCCCCCTTCCTCCCCCCCCCCTCCCCCCCCCTCCCCTTCCCCCCCTCCCCCCCCCTCCCCCTCCCCTCCCCCTCCCCCCCCCGCCCCCCCCCCCCTTCTCCCCCCCCGCCCCCTTCCCCCTCCCCCTCCCCCTCTCATTCCCCCCCCCCCCCTCCCCCTCCCCTCCCCCTCCCCTCCCCCCCCTCCCCTCCCCTCCTCCTCCTCCTCCTCCTCCTTCCTCCTCCTCCTCCTCCTCCTCCCTCCCTCCTCCCTCTCCATCTCCCTCCCTCCCTCTCCCCTCCTCCCTCCCTCCCTCCCCCCCTCCCTCCCCCTCCCTCCCTCCCTCCCCCCCTCCTTCCCCCCTCCCTCCCCCCTCCCCCCCCCCTCCCCCCTCCCCCCCCCCTCTCTCCCCCCCCCCCTCCCCCCCCGCTCTCCCCCCCCCCATCCCTCCCCCCCTCCCTCCCCCCTCCCCCCCCTCCCTCCCCCCCTCCCCCCCCTCCCCCCCCCCCCCCCCCCGCCCCTCCCTCCCTCCCTCCCAGGTGGCTGAGCAGCGGGTGACAGTTTTTCTTTAACACGGAGGCCGCCCGCCCACCTCAGCCATCGCCCGCGTGGCATCGGCGTGCCAAGCGGCTAAGATCCACAGCCCGAGCAGAACTGCGCCGATTTTCACAAGTACTCCACCTTCAGGGTCATCACGGGAGTACGGTGCCCAAGATGGGTAAGGGCAGTGACGAGGGCGCAGATCTATACACAAAGTGCGGAGTTTGTGGAGTGTGCGAATGGAACTCGCTGCTGGTCCAGCGAGACAGGTATTGTCGTTGCGGAGTTCAGTTAGTGCTGCACAAAGGCAAAGCTAAGAAAGTGTACGGCGGTGGCGGCCAGGGCAAGGGACACGATGCCAACCTCACCCTGCGGGCCACGGACGCCAATTCCCCGACTGACATTATGATGCGCGCCTTGGGGGCCACCAATGACCCGAACCTCAAGGCAGCGCTGCAAGCAGAGGTGCAGAAGGTCCAGGCCAAGGCGGGGCCGCGGGCCGCTGGGGGCATCTCTCCAGGCGAGGCCCATCGGCGCGCCGAAGTGGCCTGGCGCGAGGCGGACCGCCGCCATGATCAGGCGACGCAGGCGGTGCGCAAGGCACGAGAGCAGCTCAGCAGGGCCCCCAAAAGCGAGGCAGAAGCAGTACGAGAGCTCGCCCAGGCGGAGATAGCCAAGCGCATTGCCGTGCGGGCCCTGGCGGCCGAGGCGGGACTCACAGTCGAGAGTGCCGCCGCGCCGTCACAGCTCGGCGGCGGCGACAGGCAGGCTTCGGCAAGGCGTTCGACGTCGCTTGGGACGAGAGCTTCTTCGACGTCCTGCGCAAGGGCGAGTACGAGTGCGAGGATGCAGAGAAGGCCGAGCTGCTGCGCTTGGAGCAAGAGCTCATCCAGGCCAAGTCAGCCATCGACGAGCGCGGCGACCAGATGCTGGCCTGGAAGATCAAGATGGGCGAGGTGCAGAAGTCCGCACGCCAGCGCATGGCCAAGAAGCGCAGAGGAGGCGGCGGCGAGGCTAATGAAGGCGGCGGCAGTCAGGCGGAGGCGCCTGCGGCCAAGCCCGAGGAGGC